TTGTAAAAAATTGTAGAGTGTTTATGTGTTCCATTTTAATATATTGCAGATACGAGCGTTCAAACGTTTTTGTCGTAAAGTTATAATTACGGATGGTGCGCATTTGAAGGGTGATTTTAAGTGAACCATATTGCATGCAATAGCTATGGATGGGAACAACCAGATAGTGCCCCTTGCGCACGAAATATGCAAAAACGATATTGGTCTTACTTGGACATGGTTTCTTGAAAAGTTGTATGAATGTGTTGGTGATTGTCAAGAATTGACTTTTGTAACTGATCGGGCCGATGCAATTCGGGTTAGTATTGAAAATGTCTTCCCTCAAGCTCATCATGGCGTGTGTGCTTTTCATCTAGTAGGAAACATAGTACACAAGTTTGAGAAAAATGACAAAACAAAAGTGTTGTTTTGGAGGCTTGTGAAAGCTTACAAAAGAAATGTTTTTGAAGAATTGTGGTCTAGATTTAGTTCTACTAGGCCGCAAGTAGCGGCGTATCTAAGTGAAATTCCGCGTGCTAAATGGACTAGAGCATATTCCCTGTCGAAACGGTACGATTACATGACCTCCAACAGTGCAGAGTCCATGAACGCTTTATCTGTAGATGCAAGGAAGATGCCTATAATACCCCTTCTTGAGTTCTTCCGTCGTCTTTCTCAGGAATGGTGTAACAAGCGTCGCATCGATGGAGGTATGAAATTAATTTAGACTTTAATTATCTCTAATAATAATTTAATTATATATATATTCTTTACAGGGAAACGTTCAACAGTGCTAACCGAGTGGGCTGAAAAAGTAGTTAGTAAAAATGAAGAGCGTACGACAGGATGGTCCGTTTCTGGTGTTTCAGATGCAATATATCAAGTGCATGATTTCAAACATGGTGTCATAGTTGATCTGAGGCAAGAGACTTGTACATGCAAATATTGGGAAGAAAACTGGGTTGCCTTGTGGTCATGTCATAATGGTCTTAAAACACTTGAAAAAAACTAACTTCGGACATTTGGCTATAGATGCTTACAAAATGGAAACGTACCGGAGTACGTATGAGGAGCCGGTTTACCCCCTTCCAGAACCGTGTGATTGGGAGATTCCTTCTGAGATGATGGTTGTTAAACCCCCGATAATGGATACACGTCAAGCTGGTAGACCAAGAAACAGAAATCGTATCCCGTCACAAGGTGAGGAACCTATAGTAAGAAGGTGTAGTAGATGTGATAGTACAACACATAATGCAGCGACTTGTCCGGCATTGGTCCCAATGAAACCAAAAAAGGCTAGAACAAATAGTGCGCCATCATGTAGTAACACAAAAGGGAAAGGGAAAGGGACACAAATGACGCAAGAGACGATAGAGACGCACGGGACACAAGAGACGCGCTGGACGAGTGGGACGCAGAGAGAAGACTATTGTTCAACGTTTGATTTGAATGATTGATGGTGTATTTATTATTAATTATGTTTTGTTTTAGAGGATATTAATTTGTGTACTTTGAAATGGTTTGTTTATTTTAAAGATGATTGATAATATTATGATTATCAATTTATGTTTTGTTTTAGAGGATATCAATTTATGTTTTGTTTTAGAATACTAACTAAAAAACGAAGATAATACATTCAACAAACCAGAAACATATATAGCAAACGTACAACAACAGTAATTAACTTAAGGGAATTGCACACGTACAACAACAGTAATTAACTTAAGGGAATTGCAAATGATACTTTTCTTTCTCCATTGTTATGTAGTCGTCCCTAATTCGTATTTTATCTTCCATACGGTCCTTTTGCCTCCCAAGTTCTATCATTTCCGCATCCTTGCCAGCTAGCCATTTTTCAGACAGTTTGATATTCTTCTTAGCTGTTTTTATCCAATCCTCATGATCTTTGATTTCTTGTTTAGTATTCGCCATCCTTTCCTCAACCTCTTTGCACTCCGCCGCAATGAGGTCACGACGTTCAGTGAGAGCTCGAGATGACGCTTTATCTTTTTTTTTGTTCTTCAGCCCATTGTAGTTGTTGCAAAGTATCCTCAGACATATACCCGTCTCTTAAATTTGGTGATGGGGAAAGAAAAGGGTCGATCGGATCACAATAGAAACAATCAACTTCGTTGCACGAGCAAATATACAAACTTGAAGATGAACTCATTTGTAAATTTATAAAATATTTATAACTCTATACCAAAAATCCAACGACCATCCATGACTACATATAGTCCCTTCAACTCCGCAGAGAGGTGTTTGTAAGTCCGCAGAGCTGTTTGTCTAGTCGTTGTCATCCGCAGAGAGGTGTTTGTCAGTTCGCAATAATGTTTGTCAGTCCGCAGAGTTGTTTGTCTAGTCGTTGTCATCCATACTTTATTTATTTAAAGGTAAACATTTTTTATTAAAAGGTAAATATTTATTATTAAAAACTAAACAAAGCCAACAGACCATTACAACTACGATTAACATACAACTGAATACAAATTAATATAGTTCAACTGAATTGTCGTGGAGGTAAGACCACAACACTTTCAACTGGTATTTCCCAATGCCTGCGGGTTGGAATAGGATTGACCGTCTCAGTTTGATAACCATTTCGATACACCGCGGTGCTTAACTTTAAATTTACCATTCTATGGATTTCCGCAATTTCAAGCCTTTGTAGTGAAGCTATAGCATGGTCACAAGGTATACCACATTTTTGCCATTTACCGCAACTACAAATACCACGATCTAATTGCACAGATTCGGTTGTTGAATACTTACTCACTTCATATTTGTCGCTAACAATATGCCTAATCCTACAACCATCCGAGTGCATAAATCTTTTATGAATCACCTTAAGTGCATAAGGCGTTAAAATACCATAAAAATCTCCTGTGAAATGTACAGAATGAATAAACAAAAATTATGATGGCATAACGTATAATAACATATCAATTGACCATTTAAGTTATGTCCTAACTTATAATTACCTCCAAAAGCAGCACGTTGAAGATACACTGCTTGCATCGAGTCATGGACCATTTCAATGATTGTTGTTATTGGAAACTCATGCGTGTTTCTTCTAAACCAATTGACAACGTCGGGAATGTCAATGAATTTAATATTGAAACGTACTCTAGGAAAAAAAGCCCGTACCCATTTTGCAATGGGAATATTGTCAAGCCAATGAAGATGATTCCCATTAACCTGATTTTGTAAGTTGTTCAAACATGCATAAAAATCAGACATATTATACGCTTTACAAGTCTTCCAGAACAACTGCTCTACCACTGTATTCCACGCGGTGGAAGCACGTATTTTCTCGGCTATATTTTTACAACAATAGCCATGATATGAAACAGGGTAGACTCTTTGAACTGCAAAGTCTATGGAATCAGACATATGGCTTATGAAACCAACTTCTGTATTGTCACCTAAACATTCTTTAAGCCTCCTCATGAACCATAACCATGAATCGTCACAGTTTATGGTTCCCAAAGCAAACGCTATGAGAAGGGGTTGATGATTTCCATCTAAAGCAACCGCAATGTACATGGATGTTACGTACGTCCCAATTAGAGGTACATGATCAACGAATATGATTGGTATCATAGACGTGACAAACGTACGAATCTGCAAGTGAAGATAAGAATATTAGGTATATAACAACCTAAGGTAATTAAATGATTTATTATAACGGATTACATACCACACATCCCAATGCCACAAAACAAATTTTGAAACGATTGTACTGATCTTTCGTAATGTACGTTAAGGTGTTTGGATTGGTTCTTTGCAGATTATGGAAAAAACTCGGTAGGGTTGAGAAAGTTTTTCTTAATACGTGATTGCCTGAACTCATTTTGACAACTCGGTAGGATTGGTTCTTTCGACACCACGTTACATATTTATTTATACATGGTAAACCTTGTCAGTCCGCGTAGAGAAACTTTTTATACACGGTAAACCTTGTCAGTCCGCGTTACTGACTTGTCAGTCCGCGTAGAGAAACTTTTTATACACGGTAAACCTTGTCAGTCCGCGTTACTGAACTGTCAGTCCGCGTTACTGACTTGTCAGTCCGCATAGAGAAACTTTATATATATATTAAATGTAGTATCTATACGAAATTCAAATCTTTAATTGATAATAGAGATCAATTTACAAAATGGCGTCCAATGTACCAAGTTCTTTGAATGCAGCAAATCCATCTAATGCAGCCTCTCCAACAAAGGGTACATCTCCATGGACGACAACATAGTTGTTGGTCCTAACACAATGCTGGATTACCATTTACGAGGGTCTACCAGTAGTGGCTCCCCCTCATTGCCTTGTAGGTGATGAATGGTCCCGCCTAATAGCTTTGTTCAACTATCAGGTCGGACAAGGACAAGAACGACTAAAACCTGATATTGTTAGTAAATGGATGGATTTAAAGTTTAAAGTCACATGGTTCAATCGATGCTACAATCATGAGAAAATGCGACGCTCTCAAGCAGATGATGAAGAACTTCTTCAAGACGTGAATGGATATTACTTGTGCGAGTTTGATGGAACTGATTTCGAGTATACGGACGTTTGGAATCTGGTAAAAGATAAACCTTTTTTCATGTAGACGACTGTTTTATTTCCAATGTTTTATGTAATGTTTGTTAGTCGTAAGAAACCTTTTTCATGTAGACGACTCTTTTGTAATGTTTTTATGTTATTTGTAATGTTTATTGTGTTTGATTGTATGGTTTCGTAACATTTGTTGCTGAATTACATACTAGAAACAAGTATTTAATATTATTATATATATACAAAGTTCCTAATATCAACTTATATAGTTAGGCCTATATAGTATCCCAAATAACATTTGCCATCTTATTTCTGTAGAGAAATCCCGCATCTCTACGTGCCGTAGAAATCTTCACTGGTACCCCCGAAACAATCATTTCCATAAACATGCATACAAATACTCCACAATCCCCTCTGTCAAGACTATATTCTTGTTGTGGCACGTCTACAACATCAACAAACTCCAGCTTTGCTTTGTCTTTGTGTCCAACGGGGAAATGGTTCCAGTACTCAATGACATCTAACTCTGAGATAATACTATCTCCAAAACTTGTGAATTCTCCACCAGTTAAGTACTTTGAGAAGTAACCCGCAATTCGTGCTGAATCATAAATTTCTACTTTCCAGGTATCTAAATGTAGCACCGCCATAAACCAATGGGCACTAATAACATTTATTACGAATAGAACCTGCAAAAAATAATATAAATTAAATACTCGTAATTTCAGTAATATTATATTTATAAAATAATAATATTAAAGTTAACTAACCATATCCACATCCTTCCATTTAGGACAACCTCCAAAACCATTTGCTACATTCCTTAAAAATAATGATTTTCCGGGTTCCAAATTGATTTCTTGTGGAAATATCGTCCACCTAGCGTTCGCCGGCCGCCTTTCCATCAACAAGGAACTCCATATCGCAATATGCTGTACATTTTAAGATAAAAATGTTAGAATTATTTATATAAATTCTAGTCTAAAAAAATAGTTAAAATTTTAACTAAAAGAATGTTACCGAAGAAAGTAACCACCCTTTGTCAGTAACAGAAAGTAACCTCGACCAAAAATCCATATCTAGTGGGAGAATATGCAGCCTATGTTTAGTGATGAGTTTGGAAGAGAGCACACTCCATTCTTTCCAAAAACTCATCGGACTATTACTATAAATACTGTCCAACAAGAGATGGTTTGAAACGTCACTACTCTCTGCATTGACAATGTCCTCATTTGTTTTTTTAGGACTCTCCTCTATTTTTTTCTTCCTTGTCTTGCTGATTTTCTTCAATTTTGCTGTCGATTGCATCTAAAAAATCAACATGTCAATAATGTAATATTTTAGAAATATACCAAATTTAAAATATGAGTTTTTTACCACTGTGAACGGAGTCCGCTGATACCATGCAACAGCCCTCTTTCGTTGCGGCCTACCAATAAGAGTCACTATTTTTGTGTCATGTTCACCCACGTCTTGTGACGGCTCACCATGCGTAGGTGTAGGCGCAACTTTCTCCTCCAAACCACCATAGTCGAACTGTGTATCATGGTAATATGGTTCTTCATCCTCTTCATTTATCATCTCCTCCTCCTCCTCCTCCTCCTCCTCCTCTACAAACCGTTTGTTTGGCTCATCTTTTTCATGTAATACACGATCTACTTTAGATGATAACTCAGCCACAACGCCTAGTAGACGCTTCACTAATGCCTTTGTGCTAATCTTCTTCTTCTTTACGACCCTCGTTGATGTGTCGCTTGACGTATAAGTTGTGTCTATTTCAGGATGTTGCGAGGAAGAAGCATTTGTGGCAGATTCAATCGAACATGTATCCGACTTGTACATAGTTCTTCGAGGAGGCGAGGCAACAACAGGTGGACTATTTCGGACCGGACTATGTTGCGGTGGAGGAGACTCTTCATGGTTAAGAGTCCGATTGACATAGCGAACATAAAACGGCAACATCAACTCCGTCCCATTTGCCACGACTGGAATAGGTACGTTGTTAGGCTACAAAAATTAAAATCAAATTGTTAGTTTAAAATGAAAATACGTTGGAATTTGTAAGTATAAATAATCCTTAATATAAAAAGCATACCACAAGCACGTTGATTATTCGATGACAGTTATCCCAAGATAACGGTGTTTTACTTCTCCACGACCTCATCCGCGACAATTCTGTCGGGATGCGTACATAAAATTTGGTTGCCTCGGGGAACGTCTCCAAAATCCAGATCTATAGAAAGAAAATTTAAGTATCATGCTATTATATTTTATACTACAAACCGAAGTTCAATGTTATTATCGTATAAAAACAAAACAATGATAAGTAATTAAATTTATTAGAAAATAACCTTAAACGGCAGCATAAAACCAGGAACGGTATACTTGTGTATTTTCTTGGATTCGGGATTGGCCTCCTTGAATTGTCTAAATTCTACTATTTTCTTAAACATTCCACGCATCATCCGCGAAGTATACCTCCAAAAATACGTACCCCATGCAAACCTGCAATTTTCATATTGTATATTATAGTTATTATTATTGTATTCTATTTTTACACAATATTTAAATGTAATACCTGTTCCAATCATCTCTATTATCAGCAAGCTTGTATATTGCAGCGGGAATGCACATTTTAACGTCCCGTCCGTGGAGTCCCTTCAACACAAAAACAAGCTGGATAAGCATCACAACATCTTCATCTTGAACTGCCAAATATTTTGGAGACATAATGAAGTCTTCCAAATCTTTCAACCGCATACGCGCATCAGAAATGTCTGGGAACAACCGAGCACGAAGACTTGAATTTGACCGGCCTTTTTCATCGTGGAGTAAATCCACATAAGGACCAACTTTTAAACCACAAATGAGAATATATTCCGTTTCACCAAAATCCAAATGCGTCCCTTGTATATCAAAAAAAAACCTCCCCATTTCAAATACTTCTTGAGACCTTACTTCGTGCAACATCATCAAATGCACAAGTAACGGATCACCATGTGGGATATGCATTTTAAGAATATTCCAAACGGCGAAGCTTCGAATAATTGTCGTTGTGATTGTGTTAGCCGCGGAAAATAATCTTTAATGATAGTACCCACCACACCTTTTAAAGTTAAATCCGCTTTTTGATTGAGATCTAAATGCTGCAAAACATAAGATTTAATTTAATTTAATTTAATATAAAAGGACATGAAAAAAAATTAGGAAATTATGTTTAAGGTCATTCCGCGGAGGCTTTAGGTCATTCCGCGGAGAAGGCTCTGCGGATAGACCAACACCTTCGCAGATAGACCAAATCCGCTTTTTTAAACAGCATACTTCACTCCGCGGAGGGTGCTCTGCGGACTGATATAACCCTCCGCGGAGAGACATACACCTCCGCGGAATGGATCATCACCATTCCGGAACCCACCTGTCGAACTCCATTTTTTGCTATCTAAATTTTTTAATTTTGCCTATTTATTCAGTTTAATATAATTGGTTTTCAACAAATTTCATACATATACAACATTAATCCAAAGAAAGGAATGTGAGAAATACCCGGGATCCTAAACCGTCGCTCAAAATATTGGGGAGATTGTCCTCCATTACTGCCGGAATGACGTCGTAATCGAAGTCCTGGTCGCCGGTTTGGACGTCGGAAAATGACGTCGTTTGCTATCGTGGTCGCCGGAATCTTCGGTGTCGCCGGAATTTTCGGTGGTAAGTCGATGCGGAGAACCGTCTTTGTCAAAGAGGAATCGGGGGACCAGTGGGGGGACCAAAGAGGAGGGTCCGATTTTATCAAAAAGAAGACGGGCAAATGACAAAAATACCCCTCTCCGCGGAGGTAATATCGATCCGCGGAGGTCCGCAGAGGGCCCTCCGCGGAATGTGTGTCTATAAGTGGAAAAGTCATTTTTTATGACTAAATTTTGAAATTGGCCCCCTTTTTTTGTCTATTAGCGGTATTTTCCCGAATAAAAACCCAAAAACCCTTGTGCAGGAGTTTTTTGGTTGACCTTATAAAATAAAAAATGCAATTTTAATCAATTAAGGCTATGTTTGGCAAAATCTGGCTGATAGTTGAAAATCTAGCTGTTAAATAAAAAGCTAGTTGATAGGTAAAAACTAATAGATAGAAAAATGATGTTTGATAAAACGAGCCGAAAGATATATAAAAATGCATTTAATAGAATGTATTTCTATAATTAATTAAATGATATTTTTGGAAAATTTTTAAAAAGCTACTTATCCTAAAAAGCTAGTATAAGTAGCTTTTTAAAAAGATAGCTTATAAGTTAATTTTTGGCTTGTAAAATACAATAACATAAAAAAGCTCGAAAAATAAGCTAGATGTGGCACGCCAAACACAGGCTAAGACGATAAATTTGAAGCCTTTTAAGATGAATCCATAAACCCATATTCAGATTTTAAGATCGATTTAAACAAAACTTTTTTAGATGAACAGAACCAAAAATCGATTCAAATCTTGTCAGATGAACATATATAAACCCAGATTCAAACGATTTAAGATGAACAATCAAAAAACCTTTTAGAATCCAAGGAATTTTTTTATGGACACAATCATAGAAGTCTACTCTTCGTGTGTAATGGAAGATGAAATTTAGGGTTTGTTAATGATATGTTATGTGGGACTGAAGTAGTTCAAGAAACTGGGAAGCCATATGAAGAAATTAATTGTTAAAAAATAAATATATATTAATAACAAAAACAAATATTTTTTAATTTGTCATGCCATCAAAACGGGATGTCTACATGGCCAATCAACTAGTAAAACAGGCTATTATTGAAGGTAACCATAGTTGAATATTGAATTATGTGAACAAATTTAAGCTTTGAAAACCTGATTTTCTTATGTTTCTTATTATGCTAAAACAGGAAAAGATTGAAAACCCCATGGAAAATGTGGAAATGGGCCGAGGTTTGTTCAAGCAGTAACGTCATTCTCTAGCTTTCGTTCAAAAACGCATTATGTAGCAGTGTTTATGGTTTAGGGAGGTGTCCTTTGTGTTCGAAGAAATTTGATTAGTTTTTAATAGGAAAATAGGCAAAAAAAAAATCATGTAATTTAGGAGGATATAACTTTACTCAATATCTTTCTTTGGTTGTAGTTGAACCAGAATTTTGTAAAAAGTAAATGAAGTTATTAAATGTTATTCATGTTAGACAGTAGACATTTATTGATTGTGTGATATATCGTTGCAAATCTCTCTTTTGAGAAAAGATTACCCAATTGAATATTACAAAAAGAGAAATTAAACATTCTCCTACTTTTGATCCTACAAATCCTACAAATCCTTCTATCCATTTAAATGATGACATGTGTCATATTAGTATCCTAAAATATCATTAAATGAACATTAAATGTTACACATGTCATCATTTCATTGGGTAGGAGGATATGTAGGAACAAAAAATAGAAAAATATTTAATTTCTCTTACAAAAATACTATGATATTTTTATATCTATATGTGTCCAAAATCGGTAATAAATCATACTTTCCAATTAAGAAAAATCATGTTATCCCAACAAAAGACCTTAATGTCAAATCCTTAATACCACCTTCATCGGACATTGTAATCTACATATATCAATCGACAATTTGGAGGGAGACGTTCATGGATGACGTGAACCTTTATTGGGATAAACAATAAATGTTTTTCCACAATTAAGATAAATAGTCAAATAGACAAGAAAATAGGCTCCTTTCATACCAAAAGTATTTTACCTAACCCAAAAAATAAATTTAATATAAATATTTACTAAATTCGACAAAAATAAAGCTATGAATTTGAACCTTTTTGTTTTAAAAGTCATATCATGGAAAATATATAATAACAATTTACATGGAAGTATAAGACAACCGGACAACAAATTATGTTTATAATATTTATTTTTAAATGATAAAACTAATTTTTTTTAAAACAAATATCTATAACATATAGTAAAATAAAATATATAAATATTTATTGAAGTGGTTGTAACCTTAAAACATCTAAAAATTATTGCACAATAAAAAGGTAGGACCAATGATTGTACCATATTCAGCTGAAGAACCACTTTCATTGGTTTTACATCTTAAGATAATAATTCAAGACACATCACTGTAGTGTTTGTGTTTGATTGCAACAAAAATCAAGAAAATTATTAAAAAATAAAGAGAGAGAGAGATTCCTTCTTCCATTAACATGATGAATTGACAAACCATATAAAAAAAGCTGACTTCGATCTTGCCTTCCAGATGCCTGACCATTCTTCCCCACTTCATAAACCCATCATATACTATTGAATCTTGGTTGCTTCTGCATCAGCATTCAGCATTCATCAACCCCCACCATTTTCAAAATCTTTCTCTGGGTTTCTGAGGGTGGGGTTTTCATCACATTTCTGATGTCTTTAGTTTCTCGATTCAATTATTGACCACCCATTAATTGTCCAAAAGGGGAAGCATCTTTCACTCTCTCTTTCTTTCTCTCTCTATCTTTATCTCATAGATGGCAATTAATGGGCTTTTTGTCTTCTATATAGTTAATTCGAGGTCATACCCAGTTTAATTTCTAACACCCATGTACAGATTTTACTCATCTTTCGCTTCACCTCCTCTATTTTCCCCCAAATTCTGTTTTATTGTTCCGCCGATTGTTGAAGAAGATGCCAAGGCCTGGACCTAGACCATTTGAATGTGTGAGAAGATCTTGGCACAGTGAGCGACACCAACCCATTAGAGGCTCCATCATTCAACAGATTTTTAGGTAAACTTTCTTCGACTCACTCAATCTCTTCAAAACCTTCGATTCTTGTACTTATTGGGTTTTGAAATAATGCACACCATGTGTTTGATCAGAGTTGTACATGAAAACCATAGTCCTGGTACCAAAAAGAACAGAGAATGGCAAGAGAAGCTCCCTTTGGTTGTCTTGAAATCTGAAGAAATCATGTACTCCAAAGCCAATTCCGAGGTACCCATCTTCTTTCTCTTCCTGTAAACATATATATTTTTCAATCTTTAAACTCCAATTTCGTAATTAGGCCGAATACGTAAACCCGGAAACGTTGTGGGATCGATTGAATGATGCCATTGACACGATAATTAGGAAAGACGACACCATGGAAAACGGCGAATTTTTACCTGCTTGCGTTGAAGGTACCCCATTTCACATTCTTCGTAACAAATCTCGTTTTTCTTTCATTTTGGAAGTCGAATTTGAGTTTATTTGATTCGAATTTGGTATTTCTGTGTTCAGCTGCCCTTAATTTGGGTTGTGTTCAAGTAAGATCATCAAGAAGCCAAAGAAACAGCAACACCAGAAGCTATCTAAGCTCAAGAAACCAAGATTCTGGTCGAAATCTTAACGTACCAAATGTTCAAAGACCAGATTCAGAAGCTAATAAGGATATAAGACCGAATTCCAATTTTACCCCTCCTGGTTCTTCCTTTTGTCCTCCCTCATTTGAAAATTTTCCAAGAAACATGGTACCCTTTGAGAATAAAACCTCTTCAATTTACCCTTTATACCATGGTTTTCATCTTCAACCTCGACCACCCCACATGGGATTTCACACTACCCCCCAAAATCCGGGCAGCATAATCCTTGGTACACCGGTTTTCCGGGCAGCCCGGGCAGCCTGTGAGCCTTCTCATTCTGAAAGATTGTTTTCATTCGATAGAGACAATGATGATGGTAACGGGTCAGGGTCAAAGAAAGAATCTGGACCCGAATTGGTGGAATGTGACTTGTCTCTAAGATTGGGTCCTGTTTCAAGTAGTGAAAAAGAAAAAGGGTTGACTTGTGTAGATGATGATGTTGACTTGGGTAGACTCAAAGGAAAGGAGTTTTCTTTCTTTCCTTTGAATTCAGAAGGTGAAGGAGTTGAGAATTTGGGGACAGATGTTAGGAAGCGAAAGATGGTAGGGGAATCGGGGAGTTTTTTGCAATTACATCCGGATTTTAATGAGCAAATGAAAAGAAGAGGTTTGTAGATATGAAATTTGTTATGTTTTCTTATGAAATTCTTTGAAATGAAAAGAGAAAGGAGTCTTGATTATGCGTTATTAGTTTCAAGATTCGTATTCTGCCTTTTTATGTCGTAAGTTTTGCACATATTTATACAAATCCCAGCTCGGTTTCTTGCTTTATCTTCTAAACGGAAGGGTAAAATGGCCATTTACTCACATTAAAAGTTAAAACGTTTCTATTCCCTCAAAAACAGCAACAAATTCCGTCTTAATAAATTTCAAAATCCACATTCACATATTGTGCCTTTTTATTTATGTCGTAAATTTGCACTTTTTTATGCAAATCCCAGGTGGGTTTCTTGTTTTTTCTTTTAAACAGAAAGGGTAAAATGGTCATTTACTCACATTCAGACGTCAAAAACAGCAACAAATTTATTAAGACGTCAAAAACAGCAACAAATTCTGTGTATTCAAAATCCATATTCACATATTGTTCCTTTTTATATATGTTGTAAATTTGCACTTATGTATGCAAATCCCAGCTGGATTTTTTGTTTAATCTTCCTAACAAAAGGGTAAAATGGTCATTTACTCATATTCAGATTGTTCGTTCGGTCCAAAAACAAAACATACTTTGTGAATGGATCGTCTTTACAAGTTTCAATATTTATTATCTTCCCTTTTAATGTCCTAAACTTGCTCTTATTTATGCAAATTCCATATGGTTTTATTGCTTAATCTTCTAAACAGAAGGGTAAAATGGTCATTTACTCACATTCAAATGGTTCAGTTAAAACAGAAAAGACTGTGTACTAATCGTCTTCATAAGTTTCAATATCCCTACACCGCCTTTGTATCTATTACATTTCCACTTATTTATGCAAACCCCAACTGTTTTTTTTGCTAGATCTTCTTTAACATAAGGCTAAAATGATCATTTACTCTTAGACACTTCATTAATTCCAAATGAATAAAATTTAAAGAAACAAGCAGTTGGATTAGGTTAACAGATTCATAAGCAATTGGGTCAAAGTAGGATTGCATATGGTCAATGTCCTTTTCTTTTGGTTGGGTTGGTGGTTGGTGTTGTTGGTTTTATGGGTGGTGAGGGTTGTCATTCATTTGATGGTTGTCAATCTCATGGGGCATATCCCTTTCGGGTCCACCCGTGCATTGTCTTGTTGTACCTACCGCATTAAAATCCAAACATGTTCATATCGCAGTGACATTTGCATAAGGCTCCAAAACCTTTGGCTTGTAATGATATGTCATATCGTTGATTTCACTCCACATGTATAGGAATTAACCATTCTGAACAAAATTTAACTGCATATGTTACATGTGACATGACCAGATGAAACAAGGTAATAAGAGCATTCATGTATTTTACACAAACTAGAGATCAAGAGCGAATAAATGTCCCATCTTTTTCTAGCTCATTACTGTCCATTGATATCAGTCGCAGTCAGAGCATCACAAAGTTGTAATAAAAACTATAAAGTAAATTTTGTAGGGCTAGCATTCTGTTTTTAACCTATTGAACTACATCTGTCAGGGTTCGGCCATGGTTTGTTTTTGTGGGCCGGGCTGGTTTAGGTAGGAATTGATTGAACCGGTTTAGACATTATTTTTTTTTTTTTTGTTCAATTTTCTATAAAAAACCCAACTCAACATATGATTTATTAATAATTTAGGAAAAGAGAAGTTGAGTATGGATTTAATGTATAGCTACTAATGGATAAAAGAAAATTTGGATAGACAACTTATAAAATTAAATTACATGGAGAAGAATAATGTATATTTTAGGACCGAGTATAAAATATTTGCCGTGTCAAGAAAATTCAAAGTCTCAATTAGTTTGGCAGATTCCTTCGGCTAAAACGACGTAATGATGTGATATGGCAATAGACGTTATTTTATGATATTTTGACTAATCTATTTCATTATCATGTCACATCGTTAATGACCAACACCAACGCCTAAAATATCTTAGTACCCAATAGATTATAGATTTAAAAAAAACAAATTAATAGAGTCCAAGTTACGTTTGATTGATATTATTTTGATACGAATTCGAGATAGGTATATTAGATTTGCTTAGAATTGTTATTTTGAATCCAATTTAAATATCAATAGAGACTTTGAATACGAGGAATTTGACTTATTAAGGTAATTAAGTATTTCGTATGTTCACATATGGGTAATATTGTTTTTTTTTTGTACTCATTTATCCAATTAAATTGTTTCAGCCGTTCACAAATAACCAACATTACCGGCTAACGTAGGTTTTGGCTGATGTGGCATCTACGTGGCTTCTACATTGTAATACTCATCACCTACGTGGCATTGTATGTATTTGTCATGGTTTACATTATAAGAAGGGTGAGATACGACTACTTATTAAATAAAACCCTAGATCGATCGATGTCATCTAATTCCTCATCTTTTTCTTTCAAGCGACAAGACGAATTGCAACCGAATCATCCATGTGATTGTGATTGCCATCTCGTGTGAAGACATCAAGAACCCCCGACAATCCTGGAAGGAAATTCAAAGTTTGTCAAAACTCACTGGTAAATCAATTTTTTTTGAATTTTTTTACTTTTTCTTCTTCATCCTTCAATTTAACATGTTTTTATAAATTTCTTGAAGAATGGAAAAAGTCTAAGCTGTAAGTTTTGGCAATGGTTGAATGAGGATGAAGGGAGGAAAGATGGAAGAAGGCATCACATGATGAAACCAGAAGAAAGCTGCAATCTTACCTTGAAAATTTGTACATTGGAGAATGAAATCAGCATATGCAGGATGAAGATCGAACAAGAGAAGAACAACAATAAACAAGAACTGAACAAAGTCAATTGGAAACTGTTTACTCATAGACTTGCATTGATTGTGTTGTTTCTCTTGTATGTCAAAATGTTGTTTTAAATTATGTAGTTTATGATGTAGTATGACTAAATTATGTATCCTTTCTGATGTTTTGAATGAAAAAGGTTACATTAGATGATTGGAATGGAATTGTACAAACACTGTAATGGAATTGTACAAACATTGTAATGGAATTGTGATTACACTTGGAATTATAAAATATGGTAATGAATTATAAACATTATAAATGGCTAAATTATGTATCCTTTCTGATGTGTTGAATGAAAAAGGTTACATTGGATGATTTGAATGTATTGAATAATTGGAATGGAATTGTACAAACATTGTAATGGAATTGTGATTACACTTGGTATTATAATAGATCATAATAAATTATAAACATTACAAATGGTATTAGAAAGATGTGTAAAAGATGGTAATAAATTATAAACATTCCAGGGAACATTGATTTCAAACGATGTGTCAAAAGTTATACATAACACAGTTAAACATTCGTTATAGACAAAAAATGTGCAAAAAGTTAAACACTACATACTTAAACATGCATTTAAGATATTCCAACTAGAATTCAAAAGATGTGCCAAAAGATTCCAAAGTTAAAAGATGCCAGTCAAAGATGCCAAAACATTAACAACAATCCAAGAAGCCAAAAGCTATTCCAACTCATACGGATTGTCACCACTGCTTCCCCGTTTCCCCTTCCACTTCTTTCTTATCTCAAGTTTTGTAATTCTTTCTGAAGGTTTACTTGCCCTCTGTCCCACTACAACCTGAAAAGATGGTACTTCATGCATAATCTCTTCCACTTGATCTTGAACTGCAATTTGGTTAATATTTCAAGTAGAACTTGCACTTCAGCTTGAACTTCAGGTTGCACTTCAGCTTCATCTTCAGGTTGATCTTGAGCTTGTTCCTGAATAACATCATCTACTTGATCTTCAAATTCAACATCATCTCCAGGTTGAGCTTGAGCTTGTTCCTAAATAACATCATATTCAAATTCAACATCAAAATACTCCACTTCACTATCAGGTTCCATTTCAACTTCATTGTCACTTTTTATATCAACTTCCTGTGCCAATGCAACCTTTACTTTACCTGTTATGCAATACTTGAAAAGTTAAGTTATGCCAAATATGTTAAGTTATACAAGATATATATATATATATATATATATATATATATATATATATAGACATATATTATTATATATATATCTATATATATATATGTATATATACATATATATATATATATATATGTATGTATATATATATATATATATATATATATATATATATATATATATATATATCAAACATACCAGCTTTCTTGGGTTTCTTTTTCTTTCAACTTGGATTTGATGATTCCTCAATTGGTTTTTGAGAACATGTGGTTCTATTATGCCCACTTTCCCTACATATGCTGCATTTCATCACACTACCTCTTTTTGTGACTGAATGCTTTTTTCCTTGGTTTTCCCTCTCAATCTGATCGCTTTTTCTTTTTGTTGATGGTCTTCCTGGTAGCCTTCTCCTTTTGGGGGGAAATGGCTTGATGTAGTCTACATGAGGCCACATGTCACTACCCATTGAGTGGGTTAATGGTATATCTATAACAGTTTAAGAACATTGCTGTGGTAAACCATGGTGACACATACTCCTCTACATCCCTATTGAGGATTGAAATGCAAGTATACCCATGCACACAAGGGTAACCTATTAACTGCCAAGTTCTGCAGGCACATGTTCTGCTGCCAAGGTCCACAACATATGCATCATACCTAAGTCTGACTTCATACTGTTGATAACCAGATGGTATAACTTTCCAAAACCTGTCCACATACATATAAGGAAGGACAAACATATATAAGGACAAACATGTTAAAGCACAAACATATATAAGGACAAAACATATTTAAGCACTTACTTTTGAAGATCCTTAAGCTTGGAAAACCTCAGTCTAAGGGAAGGACATATGGTTAAATCCCAAGATTGCCCATAAATCTTCTATCTATAAAGCCTCTCCATCACATAAATTCAAATTTCTTCTAACATGGTTAGGGGTGCAAACGAGCCAAGTTACTCGTGAGCTACTCGAGATCGAATCGTTAAAAGCTCGACTCGAGATTGATTTTAAACGA